CACATTAAATTAGCAGATTGATCGTTTGTTATGTGGCAGGCACTATTTTATACAGTAGTAGCAGTTCGAAACTACCAGTGGTTCCATGGGAGAAAGATGAGGCTTTCTTCTCCCGTAAAGATTTACAGCCTCTGAAACCCCATGCAGGGTCACTATGGGTCAGAACTGACTCCTCGGTACTTAACAACAGCCCATATTTCTTAGCTTTACATTCTAGTGGGGGTACTGAAAACTTACAGATAGAAATGCAGCCAAAACCAAATGCACAAAGCTTGTCCCTTAACTCAACTATTGCTGTTAAGTGCCATCAAGTCGGTTTTGATTCACAGCGACTCTGACCCATAGCAACCCTGTGTAGGGTTTCCAGGGAGCAGCTGGTGAGCTTGAACAGCCAACCTTGTGTTTCAAATGGAACTTGCAGTCCAGCGTATTACCCCACAATGCCACACCAGTTATCAAAGCAGAGCAGCCAGCTCACTTGGCAGAACATGAGACATTTGTGACACAGGGTAGACAAGTGACTAAAAGCAAGACTCCAAAGTCAAGTATCTTAGATTTGTGTCCTAATCCTGCTACATTCCAGCTGAGTGGTCTTGGGCAAATAATTTAGCTTCTTTGAGTCTCAGTTTCCCTCACCTGTAAAATGGGAACCATAGAGTTCATTTGTGAAGATAAAATTAATTCATGTCAGCACATGGTAATACAGTGTTGGGTCTCATGCAGTGGCAGGCAGTGGGCTGAGTGCTTTACAGATATTGGTTCTTTTAATGCTCACAGTGATACTATGAGGTATGTATTATTACTGGCTCCACAAGACAGATAAGAACTGTAAGCTGGTGGTGATAGTATTGTTAGCTGCTGGCTACTCAGCCCACACATACGGGAATGGACTATGAATGTAGATACAGGGAGACTAAGTAACTTTTCTATGGTTATGCTGTTGTTGTTGTTAGGTGCCATTAAGTCGGTACCAACTCATAGCGACCCTATGCACAACAGAATGAAACACTGCCCAATGTTGGGTCAACCTCACAATTATTGCCACGCCTGAGCCCATTGATGTTGCCATTTTGCCAATCCATCTCACTGGGGGGTCTTCCTCTTTTTCTCTGACCCTCCACCTTACCAAACACAATATCCTTCTCTTGTGACTGGTCCCTTCTGACAATATGTCCAAAGTAGGAGAGATGAAGTTTGGCCATCCTGGCCTCCACGGAGCACTCTGGCTGCACTTCTTCCAACAGATCTGTCGGTTCTTTGGGCAGCCCATGGTGCTTTCAATATTCTCCTCCAAACCATAACTCAAAAACATCAATTCTTCTACAGTCTTCCTTTTTCACTGTCCAGCTTTTGAATACATATGATGTTACTGAAAATACCATGGCTTAAATCAGGTGCACCTTAGTCCTCAAGCTAACATCTTTGCTCTTCAACACTTTAAAAGTCCTTGTGCAGCAGATTTGCTTAATGCAATATGTAGTTTGATTTCTTGACTGCTGCTTCCATGAGTGTTGATTGTTGATCCAAGAAGAATGAAGTCCTTTACAACTTCAGTCTTTTCTCTGTTGATAAGAATGTTGTTTATTGATCTAGTGGTGAGACTTTTGTTTTCTTTACACTAATATGCAATCCATACTGAATGCTGTGGTCTTTGATCTTCATCAGTAAGTATTTTAAATCTTATTCACTTTTAGCAAGTAATGGCTGGTGTTCAACCATTTTAAGAGGTAGCATATGATCAAGAGCTGATGATCCTGAAGAAGGAAGTCCCAAGTGCATTGACAGAATTGGCAAAGGACAAAGCTCCAGGAATTGATAGAATAAAAATTGAAATCTTTCAAGAAACTGAGGTGGCACTGGTGGCACTCACTCATCTATGCCAAGAAATTTGGAAGACAATTATCTGGCCAACTGATTGGAAGAGATCCATATTTGTGCCCATTCCAAAGAGAGGGGACACAACGGAATGCAGAAATCATCAGACAGTATCTTTGGTATCCCATGCGAGTAAAGTTTTACTAAAGGTAATACAGACACGGCTGCAAGCATACATTGACAGAGAACTTCCAGAGGTTCAAGCTGGATTCAGAAGAGGCTGTGGAATGAGGGATATCATTGCTGATGTCTGATGAATCTTGGCTGAAAGCAGAGACTATCAGAAAGATGTTTACCTGTGCTTTATTGACTACGCAAAGGCTTTTGATTGTGTGGATCATGACAAGCTATGGACAACATTGCAAAGTATAAGTATTCCTGAGCACTTAATTGTGCTCATGAGGAATTTACCTGGACCAAGAAGCAGTTGTTTGAACAGAACATGGGAACACTGAATGGTTTAAAATTAAGAAAGGTGTGTGACAGGGTTGTATTCTTTCACCATACTTATTCAACCTGTATGCTGAGCAAATAATCCAAAAAGCTGGGTTCTGTGAAGGAAAACATGGCATCAGGATTGGAGGAAGACTCATTAACAACCTACAATATGCAGATGATACAACCTCCGTGGTTATACAGGCCAGTAATATATAGGCACATGGGACACAACCCAGGTCTATTTTGAGAGCACATGCTATTTATCATCTAACTAACTAATAAATTAATTTACTTGAAGAACTACAGATGGGGATTTATCTTCCCATTTGAGTTGGTTTAAAGAGGTAGTTGCAGCAATATTTAACAATGCAATATGTTGTTTAATTTCTTAACTACCGCTTCCCTGAGTGTTGATTGTGGATCCAAGTAAATTAAAACTTTGACAACTTCAGTCTTTTATCCATTTATCATGATGTTATTTATTGGTCCAGCACATACATAGACACACTGATACACACATATATGTGTTGTTGTTGTCGGGTGCGGACGAGCTGGCTCAGACTCATAGTGACCCTATGCACAACAGAAGCAAACTTTGTGTGGTCCTGTGCCATCCTCACAATTGTTGGTAAGTTTGAGTCCATTGCTGCTGCCACTGCGCCAGTCCATCTCATTGGAGGTTCTTCCTCTTTTCTACTGACCCTCCACTTTACCAAGGATAACGTCATTCTCCAGGGACTGGTGCCTCCTGAAAACATATCTAAAGTATGGGAGCATTCTTCCTCCAACAAGATTTGTTCTTCTGGCAGTCCATGGTATTTTCAATATTCTTTTCTAATACCATAACTCAAATGCATCAATTCTTCTATAGCTTTCCAATTTCATTGTCCTACTTTCATATGCATATTTGTTGTTGTTGTCAAGTGCCATCGAGTCAATTCCGACCCATAGCGACCCTGTATAGGGTTTCCAAGGAGCAGCTGGTAGGCTTGAACCGCCGATCTTGCAGTTCAAACGGCTTTGCAGTCTGGCTCATTATTAACCCACGGCGCCACACCATTAGGCTATTAAAAATATCATGACTTGGGTTAGGCACACCTTAATAATCCCTCTGCCATCTTTGCTCTTGATTACTTTAAAGGTGTCCTGTGCAGTCTATTGCAATAATACACTGTTTGATTTCTTGAATTCATCCAGCACACCCACATCCCCAGAAGTGAACCCAGGTACTATATTAACACATTAATGATGGCGGCAGGATAAGCTGGGGTGATGAAGGGAATCCCTTGAAGTGTTTTAAGCATGAAATCACTCAAACACATCTTCATTTAAATATGTTGTTGTAGTTCTTTGCTGTCACCGATGCATGGTTACCTCATGTGTTAACAGAGTCAAATTGTTCCTAGGGATTTCTTAGCTGTTTACAGAAGCAGTTCACCAGACCTTCTTTCCATGGAACTACTCGGTGAGTTCGAATCACCAACCTTTAGGTGAGCAGCCTGTAGCAAATGACTTGTACCACTCAGACTTCTTTTAGTAAGGAATGAAACGATGAGCTAAAAGTTACTGAGGGGAGCAGCGGAAGAAGAGGAAGTAATGCTTTAATTTCCAAGTAGAAGGAACAGTATGTGCAAAAACTTTGAGAAAGAGATGGGAATCCGACATTTTAAGTAGTTTCCACTTTTGGAGCACTCTACTTTTGGATTCGGTGACATAATAAATACGTGAATTCTGTATTTAAATAAAGATAACAACAACAAACCATTATTAATGAGCTAGGTCCTGCACCTACTAGTCACTTATGACTTGATGTTTTTAAGTGCCTACAAGTCAGTTCCTACTCATAGTGAGCCTGTATAGGGTTTCTGTGAGCAGCTGGTGGGTTTGAACCACTGACCTTCAGGTTCAAATAGCCCTTACAGTCAAGTGCTTATCCTACAGCACCACACCAGGTGTCTCATTACTTCATAGTTCCTGATCTTTAAAGTAGAAGGAGAGGTACTACGGGTGAAGGCGAAGAATCAGCGACTTAAACAATCGACTCCACCATCAACCCTGGACACAGCAGCGTAGAAACCTGGAGTCAAAGTGTAGGAATGAGGAAGGAGGAGGAGGGTGTCTCCTTGACAACGCATCTCATTGGCTTTTAAAGTGAAACAGTTGGAGGATTGGCTGCGGAGGTAGCCAGAGGCCCACTCCCTGTCGCTGATTGGATAAAAGGCGGGCACACCTCTACTTCTATCTCTAGGCTTTGCCATTGGGGCCTGTTGCTTGGCAACCGATTTGCTTTCTTCAACTAAGCAGACAGACACCCACTTAAACCTGTGGAGACACGCTTCTTCCACTACCTCACTGTACTATCTCTCACACCCACCCTCCGTTCACACACACTACGACTCTCATTTGCTGAACCGCAGCTGATCTCTGGGGTCAATCCACGGATAAGAAAGTGTCCAAGTTCTCTTTCTTGACACTTTCAAAGTTCTCTTCATTTAGAGGGGTCTGAAGAGAAAAGAAACTCACTATTAATATCCCACCCTTAGAAGCACCGTATCTTGAGAGACACACCGTTCTGTAACTCTAGAGAGGAGGTCACTTAACTAGGTGTGGGAGGATAACACTTGACTTTAGATACCTAGAGTAAGCCTGAGCCAGGGGCCAAATACCAGACCCTCTACTGCCTTACCATGCATTGCAGAGCTTACCTCTTGCTGGAAAGAGACTACCAGGAGTTAATGGAGAACAGTTATAAGGTGAGTAAAGAGAACCTGAAGGGGAAGGGTAATACTTTTTTAAAAGCAGTTTTACTCGTGTTTAGCCCCAGAACTTAATTTCTTTCATCCATTGCAGCTAAGGAGTTTTGTGGCGCTGTGGATTAGGTGCTGGCCTACAATTGGTCTCTGTTTCAAATCCCTTAGTCACTGAGGGAGAAAGATGGGGCAGTGCGTTCTAGTGAACATTTTCAGTCTCAGAAATCCTAAGGAGCATTTCTATCTACTCTGTTCTACAGGCTCGTTGGGATGGACTCAATGTCAGTCCTTTACAGGATTGCCATTTAATGAATATATTTAGTTATAATAATCGATTTCATAATGATTGTTATCCTATGTTTATTCCTGTATAATTCTAGTATACTCCTTATATTTAATTATTTAATAATATTATTTCATCATCATAATGGTTACCAATATAGAGCACATTGTCCTGGATTATGTATGTGAACATGAGTCTGGAATATCAGGATTTACCAGATAGTAAATGACAAGTAGGTATAGAGTTGCCCTCATTAATTACAATACTGTAAGAGTCCAGGTGTGGCGCTGCAGGATAAGCACTGGACTGCTAACCATAAGATTGGCTGTTAAAACCCACTAGCCACTCTTTGAAAATCCCCTGCAATGAGTTGAAACTGACTCCACAGCACATAACCACCACTACCACCACATCATTGCTTAACTGCCCCATGACTGAGAATCATGGCCCGGCTGAGCTGGCACATAACTTCAACCATCACAGCCAATGTTCCTCCTACCTAGCACATGACATATGTCATTAATGTGCAAACCTGTCAAACAGTGGGATTTTTTGCTATTTTTATAAATGCAAAATGTCAGATAGCAAGTAAGTAAGGAGTTGTTGTTAAGTGCCATTGAGTGGATTCTGACCCATAGTGACCCTGTATAGGGTTTCCAAGGAGTGGCTGGTGAACTTGAATCGCTGATCTTGCAGTTCACATGGCTTTGCAATCTGGTGCATCAACCCACAGTGCCACACAAGAAGTAGTTATAAATTAATCCAGAAAAGAACATTAAGAATTTTTGAAATTCAGCATAGATTGTCAATGCTACTTTGACATAAATACTTAACCTTTTCTGCCTTTTTTTTTTTTTTTAATTAAAGGGTATTATTGCCTTTCCTGTAAGTGAAGATCTGATGCAATGGGAAGCTGAAATTGAGGGTCTACAACATACAATTTGGCATGGTTTGTGGCTTCAAAATAAATTTACTTTTTAAGGTCTTTATGCCATTATTAGCATATATTTTTATATAAGAAAGTTTGCATGTCTATATAAATGCTTGCATTATGTAAATTATCCAGAAATCGTCTTTCTATGTATAAGGTTGTATTATATAAATTATCTAGAATTCTAACAGTATTTACATGTGAGTTTCTCACTATGGTGTTAGTTGTATGCCATGGTCTGACTCATAGCGACCCTGCATTGGGTTTCCAAGGCTGTAAATCTTTAAGGGAGCAAAAAGCCTCATCTTTCTCCCATGGAGCGGCTGATAATTTTGAACTTCTGACCTTGCTAATGAAGCCAACTGGTCACCCACTATTTTGTTTTGTCACTATATACTTATTTATTTCTGTCATTTGTAAAGATAGCTAGAAATTTGGGATTCAAATTTTCCTATATGTTATTACGTTTTTAACAAGTAAACATAATGTTGTTGTTGTTGTTATGTGCTGTGGAGTGAGTTCCAACTCATAGCGACCCTGTACAGGGTTTCCGAGGCTGTAAATCTTTATGGGAGCAGAAAGCCTCATCTTTCTCCTGTGGAACAGCTGGTAGTTTCGAACTGCTGACCTTGCGGTTCGCAGCTTGATTCGTAACCAATATGCTACCAGAGCTCCTGAAGTAGGCATAATACAGCATATTAAATGAGAATAACTTCTAACTATCTCCCATGAAATCAGAGAATAGCTATTAAAATTCCTACTAATTGCAAATATATTGTTTTCTCTCTCTTTTTATGATTTCACCCCCCCCCAAATTCCCATAAATCAAATTTTCAAATATACTGGGCCAATATAAACTTTTGTACTACAAACACTGTACTGTGAACCACAAGTCCCCACGTTTCGAGCCTACCAGCCACTCTGTGGGAGAAAGATGAGGCTTTCTGCGCCCATGAAGACTTTAAGACTCAGAAACCCTATACAGGGTCACTTTGAGTTGGAAAGACTCCATGGCACTTAGCAAAAATAGCAATAAACTTTTAATCTTTCAATCAAGGGTTAACAAAATAAATTCCTTGAGTGAGGTAGGGTAGAGAGACTTGTAAACTGACAGTTATAATAAAATACAATATATGTTTGTTGTTGTGTTGTTAAGTATAGTCACGTTGGCTCTGACTCAAAGCAGACTTATATACGGTTTATAAGGAGTGGCTGTGGAGCTTGAACTGCCAACCTCAAAGTTAAAACTGACCTTTCGGTCCAGTGCTTACCCTACAGTGCCTCACCAGGACAATATATGCTACTAAAGAATTAAAAACTAATGCTGAGAAGTGAGTGATTCATTTTGCCAATGCATGTTTGCTCTTCAAAGAGCTGCCATTTGAGTTGAGTATTAAAGAATTGACTAGAAGTTTACCAGGTCCCAGAGGACTCCTGGTGTGGCTCTGAGGATAAGCAGTGGACTGCTAACTGCATAATCAGAGGTTCAAACCCACCAGTTACTTCTTGGAAACCCTACACAGGGTAGCTATCAGTCAAAACCGACTCAGTGCCAAGTAAAAACAACAACAGAGGAGGGGAAGGAAATTCAGACAGTAAACAACATGGCAGAAGGTGCAGCAGTTATACTATGAAATGGTAAGTTCAGTTAATATGAGATACACTGTCCTGATGTAGTGCTGTGGGTTAAGGTGTCAGACTGCAAAGTTGGTTTGAGCCACAGGTCGGTGCTTCAAGCTCACCAGTTGCTCTTTGGAAACCCTATATAGGATTGCTATGGGTCAGAACTGACTTGACGGCACTTAACAACAACTACTGTGAGAGGAAGGATATCTGGTAGCATCGTAGTTATGAATTGGGCTGCTAATATCAAGGTCAGCAGTTCAAAACTACCATCAGTGCCATGGAAGAACGATGAGGCTTTCTGATCACGTAAAGGGTTGTTATTCCACGGCACAGCACCACCACCACTGTGAAAGGAGTGTCAGATGGACTGAGCATCAGGGAGACTAAGGTAGTGAGTGGACCAGACTGGTGAGAAATAGGCTGTAAATGCAGTAGGATTTGATAGTGAGGAGTCTATTATTCGTACTTGGCAGAATGGTTTATGCATCCCTTTAAAAAAACTCAACAAAGTTCTTTATATAGGAAAGGATTATGGAGCCCTGGTGTGACACTGCAGGGTAATACATTGGACCACAAGGTCAGAGGTTCAAACCCACCAGCTGCTCCTCAAAAACCCTATACTGGGTTGCTATGAGTCGGAACAATAGTAATTCCATTTATTTAAAGATAAAACTGTAAGGAATGTGGGGAGGCTAATTGTTGGGAGAGATTATAGTGCTAACAAGTACAACTTGACACCAGTAAAAATGTTTATTTCTGTATCATAGGGTTATTCTTCCAAGTATCCATAAATTTTACATCGGAATACAATTTGATTCCTCCAGATGTGAAATTCAGAACAATTCCTTTTCATCCAAATGGTAATGATCAAATGAAAATTTTATCATTAGTACTTCTATCCCTGTTATTCTTGTACTTTATTAGTTTTTGTTTTTAACAGCTCTTCTATATCATAAAAATAAGTACGCTCATTGTGGAAAATAAGAAAAAGCAGAAGACATTAACAATCCTTAACTCTTTACCTGAATTAGTAAACATTCTTCAAAAGATAATTAATAAAAATTATTTTTCAAAATATAATTTTTAATAAATGCAATCATTTCTCTACTTTTAAATACTCAGGGGGTATCTTTTTATTACTGTAAAAATGTTACACTGGGCAAATTAACATTTATTTATTTAAGGTTTTTATTGTGTATTGAGTGAAAGTTTACAGGGCAGATCATCAGTTTTACATTCAACAAAACATACACCCTGTTTCATTACAATGATTATAATCCCCTCCATATACCATCAGTTAACAGTATTTCTCTCTATCCACTTTAGCTGTTTTAAAAAAACAAAACAAAACAACACTCAGGCATATATAATCATTTACACCTCTAAAGGGCACATTCTGCAAGTCAGCCTCATGGCGACCAGCTCTTAGTCCATCTCTTCCTATGAATCTAGAGTCCTCAGCTGCTCCCTCTATCCATGACCCCATCACTGCTTCCATCTCTGGTGTCTCTGCTTCTCTGGATAAGGTCCCGCATTCCACTTGTGCTCTTCTCCCTTGATGGTCCTAGGATCTTCCGTTTCTGGACTGTAAGATTAACCACTCCCCTGTTTCTGTTACAAAACTTTACAACTGTGACAGTCGCAGTTACTCATGATAACAATTATTCACTATTGAATCATACGATTCTTATCCCCATCTCTTTTCACCAGACCCATCTAGACAAGATGAAAACTTTTCATTGGGGACCCTTCCCCCCGCCACACACACATTCTTAAACTATTTGTTGTTGTTGTTAGGTGTCATTAAGTTGGTACTGACTCATAGTGAACTTATGCACAGCAGAAAGAAACAGTGTCCGATCTTTGGCCAACCTCACTACTATTGCCACACTTGTGTCCATTGATGCTGTCACTTTAGTCAATCCATCTTGTTTGGGGTCTTCCTCTTTTTCACTGATCCTCTACCTTAATAAATATGAGATCCTTCTGCAGCGACTGGTCTTTCGTGACAATATGTATGAAGCATGAGAAACGAAGTTTGGCCATCTTGGCCTCCAAGGAGCACTCTGGCTGCATTTCTTCCAACATGGATCTATTGGTTCTTTTGGCAGCCCATGGCA